GGGGGGGGGGGGGAGAGAATGTACAGAAAGTACTTAACATATCTTTTAAGGCAAGAGGCATTGGTTTGTTTTGCTGAATAAATCTAACATATGCATTAATTTCCATTTCTGATGATCCTCTCTCTCTCTCTCTCACACACACGCACGGTGAGGGTTACATGGTGTGGTAAAGGGTACTAGCAGTTCTTTTCTTAAGCCTCCTCAGGGGATGAGTCCTTCCGTATTGCTGCCTTGTTGTCATAAGTGTCAGCCCAGGAAGATGCAGAGACTCTTGGTCAGAGTAGGGGAGTTGTGCTGCTTGCGGATTCGGATTTGACGGTGGAGATGGCGGAGGTGTTGAAGGTTCTCCTGCTTCAGTGAGACTCTCTGCACCAATCCCGAAGTCCTCTGGCTGCTGGGTGTCTGAGGAAGGAGAGTTGTGGACCCGCTGCTTCTTGGACTCATCGCTAACTGCATGGATCGGAGGTTCTGCTGAGGACGGCGCTACAGACGAGCGGCTGAGCTCCCATTCACTCAGGTCATTGGCGAGCAGCTCCAGACAGCCCAGTTTGGCCAGAGAGGCTGAGCGCTTCAGCAGGGATGGAGGGGTCAGTCCTGCCTGGCGAATCCTGGCTTCCACCTCTCTGACCCTCCTATTGACACCGCTAACTCGCTTTTGGGTGGCGGTAGCACTGAGGCCAAAAACCTGGTCCACACACCTGGTCCTGCAGGCTCCGCCCATGCTCACCTGCTGCAGGAAGGCACCCAGCTCGCACAAAGTCTCCCATGTCTCCCTCATGATAATGTCACTATGGGGTACCGCTGTGGAGCAGTCCCAGTCTGTGCATGACTCAAGCTCTGTCACGCCCTCTAAACACAGGAAGTTCACAGAGGCAAAGGGAGAATGGGAGGAGCGGTGGAAAGGAGAAGAGGTAGAGAGCAATCTAATATCAGCAGGCTGGAGTTTGTGTCCTTTAGTGCTTCTATCATTATTTGCCCCCATCTCAACTACATCACCACTCTCTCTTTCAACTGGTCCAACCCTCTCATTCTCCTCCTCCAGCTCTTCCTGCACGCTGCTAACTGACTGCGAGCTAACTGATGCATCCTGGGGATTAGACATGGTCGCAGGATGTACACTGGGTGGACGGCGCTGAGAACAAGAGGAGCTGCTTGATAGGGACGGTGGAGATGAGGAGAGTACCGGAGTCTCGTGCTCCTGTTTCATTCTTTGCTCAAGCTGTCGTGTGACACGCCGCACAGATCCCCTCGTCCAATCGTTGTAGAGACGAGCAGAAGTGGTCTCCTCCTCTTCATTGTTTTTCACTTCCTCTTTAACATTCTCAGCTTCCTTCTGTGATGAAACATCTCCATCCTCTATTTCCTGCCTCGACTTCCTTGCTTCCTGGTCCTGGGGGCCCTGAGGCTCTGGTTGGCTAAGAGGGTCACGATGTGAAACCTCTATGTGTACGGCATCCTTCAGTCCTGTGACCTGCACAGGGATGATCATTTCCTACAAAGAAAACGGACATCATGTAAATGATAATTCAGTCTGAATGCCAAATAAAAATTTAAGTATAAAATCATTCAGAATACATTCATGTAAAACTAATTCAGATGTGACAGATACTCTGCATGGAGCATCTTCCTATATACCATCAGGTGGCGCCCTTGGACTCAGCTAAACTAGACTGAATTTAACTGCTGTGGGTTCAACACACTTCCTTACTTACAAAAAAGATTGTAAAATTGAACACCCAAAATAAACACCCAAATCAAGACCTCCATCTGAGTATGAGGAGAGCTGCACTGAAGAAAGTCTACGTGACCCAAAGCTTATTCAATACTTTGGGTGTTTGCAGTTTGAGTAAATGTGCAGTAATTCTGGACAGTTCTGTTACAAGCAGTAGCCTCACCTTTCTTTTCTCCTCCTCCTTCCCCTCACTAGTGGAGACCTCTTGAGGCAGTGGTTGCTGTTCCTTGCCACAACTCTTCAGCTGGCAGCTTTTACCATCTTGACTCATTCCCTTGAATTTTTCCCTGGCACTAAAGAAATTAATGTGATCCGCACTGTGGCCGAACAACACCTCGTTGTCTTGTGAAATGGCACTGGGGTAGCTGATAGAGTCAGTAGTGGAGGGAGGATGGGTCGCTAAATCGTCTAAAGACAAGCCACACATCTGTTGGTCACAGTCTGTTTTTTTGACAGGCACTGGTGCAGCCAGACACTGGGGTCCTTGTGTTTGGGTTGTCATGGGCTCAGGCACCGACACTAGCATCGGTTTTATCACAGGCAGAGAACAGGACAACGACTGTGGTTTGATAACCTCATCCACGCAGGCTGGAGTTGGGGACGGAGCGGGGGAGAGGGGCAGGTGGTGACAGGATGGAGGTGGGTGAGGCTGGCCCACTAAAACACTCTGTGCAACAGTCACGATGTCTGTCTTTTGAAGCTCAGGCACCACCGTGGCAGCCCATGGCTGGGAGAGAGGAGGTGATGAGGGATGTTCCTCAGAGTCACATAAGCCGTTGGACAATGGGGGAGATAATTGAGAAACTGAGTCAGCGGTCAGCTCGGGACATGGGGAGTCCAACTGGTTGATCTGAACTACCGCAGAATGAGAAGGGGCCACGAGACTTCTAGCTTCGGCATCGGCTGATAGAGCTGCCACCCTCTCGGAGGAAGAAGAGCTGAATTGATTGGACTGGATGCCAGTATCAGGCTGGCTAGTGGAGTGTGTCGGTTTGCCAGTGCTGGCTGAAGTTCCCCGTGATTGCAGCAGTTCTTTCACAGAGGGACTAGGTGTGCTGCTGGCCTGGTTGTGGGGGTCGGAGTGACCCAGGCTGTGCGGTTGGACGAAAGATTTAGACAGTGGCTCATGGTTGTCAGACAGGTCGCTGTCAGAGTGAGAACGCCACAGTTTGTTGTGCCTCTGCTTGCTGTAGGAGAGGATGATAAACAGGGTGAGAATAAACATGGAACAAGAAAAATAACTCAGTCTCAGTAGTCTTTTCATGTTACTCCTCTTTATGCAAACATACATAAATAAAAATCCACTTTATCATTTTATAAGGTTATTATGCTATTGTATTGTGTCACAGATAAATATGATGCTGAAATGAAATGAAACTTTCATGCATTAATCAATAATGTTTTATTAACAATGTGTAATGTGAAAGGGGTTGTCTGTAGTGGCAAACCCACAGAGACTTATCAACTGTCTCTGCAGTTACACTTATCTCTACACAAGGGCGTCATGAAGGCCAAAATTCTAGGTGTAATTGGGGGGCCTTTCCCAGAAAACCAAGAAAATAATGATGCAACTTTTTCCAATATGGACTTTTTATATTATACTGCATGAAAAGCTTCTTCAGTTCAAATTCAAAAAACATTTTGTAGTTTAAGAGTTAGGATGCAATAACTGTACATACAATCACACAACACATTTTCTGTAAATAAGGGTGGTAAAGCGATTTAGCTGTGTGCAGCTTTCTGTTTCATCCTGTTGGATTAGCCATACAGTCCATGCAGTGTTGACGTCATGCTACGCACACAAATGTGTGTTTATGTAGATACCTGGCCAGCAGTATGCCCTGATACTCCTCCAGTTGTCTCATAAAAGAGGGGTTTGGTTTGGTCACAGCTCGACGCTCCTTGACGTAATCAAAGGCCTTTTTCAAATCCCAGCCGTGCTCCTTCATGGCGTATGCGATCACTGTGGCGGCAGAACGACTTATACCCATTTTACAGTGCACCAGGCACTTGGATCCAGCTTTCCTGAAGTTGATATATCAAGCATACATATTTGTCATTTGTATCACTATCAACTGATCTGATAGAGTTGAGTTTTTCAAAAGCAGCTAACTCCTAAAAAATGACATGAGAAAAATAGACAACATGCAGTCATCTGAAACTCACTTGGCTCTAGATATGAACTTGTAGGTGTCATTCCAATAAGCAAGCAGGTCAGTGGCCTCTTCATCGTAAACACGGATGTTGTGGTACTCAAACACTCCAGGAAAGAAATTATCAATCTCCCTCGTTACATTCAGGATGTACTGAACCCTGGGGGAGAATGAAAG